CAGCTTTTAAACAGCTATCAAACAACTAAAACAGTTATCTGTATAACTGCGATCTGTATAACTGCGATCTGTATAACTGCTATTGAACCGCTATCAAACTACTTTTAAACAACTAAAAACAGCTCTTGAACAGCTAAAACATCTATATTATACTACAAAGTATGTAGGAAAAGGAAATAAAACGTTTATATATACATATATAGTTTATTTCAAAAATCATAATTTTTTCTGGTGTCGCGACCACCAGTTAAATATTTTTAATACATTTTGTAATGCGCTGGGTGAGAGACGATCACGTTCGCGTTTTCAGGCGCCGCGCCGCGGGGAGGGGCGACCGCGTTCGCGTTTTCGCCGCGCCGCGGAGTCCGCGTGACGTCATACGCTCCCGCTCGCGTTATCTCTCCTTCGCGCGCGGTCTCTCGCTCCCGGCCCCCTCCGTTCGCGCGCGTCTTCTCGTTCGCGCGGTCTCTCTCCCCCGTTTGCGCGTTTTTGCTCACGATTGCGTATCTTTTCTTCGCCAACGATATTTAATCGTTTAGATCTTCGCGATATTTAATTTTAATATTACATTTAAGTAAACGATAAACGAAGACAGCTTAACGACAAGGAACGGTAAATGAAAAGTAAATTTTTTTAACCATATTATATACTTATTTATTTCTCATGTAGCGCAATATACACAATAGTATCTAAAACGTAGGCTAATAATTCGCAATCAATAATCAAATTTTTATCATAAACTTCACGCAAGATTTTAACTGCATTACATTTATCGATGATCCAATTTTGGCGTAAAATTGTTACAAACTGTTTGAATTTTTCACTTACGCCATGAATATTTTGACATAGTTAAAAATACACATTTTCAACGCAATGTTCTAGTTCGAACAGGAAGAGTACGGTTGACGGTTTCATGTACAAGCTGGTGTCGCACGATGTCAATTTTACAATATCTGCGTCGCGTATTTTAACGAGTTCCAAATCTCGAAACGCTAGCGATGATGGTGCAGGCGACTGCACGAGTCGCTGAATACCTGCACGTTTTTCGATGAATGTCACCCACGTTGCATGAGGCAGAATTATCCGATTGCCTCGGTTATCGCCAATAAGTATATCCACAGAGGACATAGGTCCAGTGTTGATTCCAACATCCAAAAATTTATATGCGGTCGATGTCAAGGCAAATCTCTTTCCCAAAATACGAGGTGTGTAGCGGGGTTTATCAAAACTGAAAAAAATACAATTATGATTATAAAAGTTTTTTTTTGCACAAGTATATGCGAAAATTAGCGGTACTTACTCATTGTGCTGTTTCTCACACGTTTCGTCCTGAATCGGAACGTAGTAGTTCGCACCGTGAGTGTTCATCGTATCTGGAGGCTGTTTATTGCAACGTACTCGAACCGTATCGAACTCTCGACTGCGCGCTAATATTCGCCCAAGGTAGCGATTTGGTTGGATCCTTCCACCAGGTCGCGTTCCGTTTCATTGAGATGTTCCATGTTTTTTATACTGTCTTTTTTCACACACTATTTTTAAATCACGCCACAATCTTCGAAGGAGCACTTGCATGTGACTCGGTCACACGCTGAACAATATCATGTGCAATGTTGAACGTGATTGTGCATGCATGTATATACCCGATATCAAGTATTTGTATAATGCTGTATGAAACCATTGAATATAGTTGAGTATGTTGTTAAATATGGATTTGGAATTGGAATCTTCGATCTTAACGGACAAATAATCCATTTTACAAATGTTATTGTACACCCGAGACACCCTTGCACGGAGCATCTTTTTTATCACGTTTGATATTACGTTTGTAACGTGGGTTGTATTTTCTATATTGACATTTCTTTTCAAAGTCAAATACGTAAAGCATGCCACAGATCAAAAGTTCGCATTGCGCGTCACCTAGTTTGTAAATAGTCTCCAGATCATTGCTTGTCCTCGGATCATATTTCCACCAACCATTTCGACCTTTGTAAAACCATTGATACTCTTCCTCAGTATGTTCCGATTCCTTCTGAGGCTCCTCCACTTCCACCAGCTGAGGTCTCTCGAGAAAATCCGGTGGGATCTCTTGACGACACATCGGACACCGCTTGCTCTGATTAGCGACACCCTTTACGCACAGATAGCAGTATATATGGCTGCAGGGTAATCGTGCTGGATGGATACATGGCTGCAGGCATACTGCGCATTCTGGCACAAGAGTGGGACCTTCCTTTTCCTCGGAATCCTTATCCTTCTCTTTAATGCTGCCGCCAGATTTCTCCGGCACGTCGAGCTTCGCTTGCGCCATGGCAGGACGAGTCGCGCGACCGCCGACAGGGTCAGAGTCTCATCCGACGAAGCCCGATACAGCTCTTATGCATGAACGACATAGTGCAAGTGCACCATCCGTTGAATAATAAAAAAATAGTACGCACTCTTTTGTATGTAAATTTAGTGCAACGATTTCCTTACGCGACACTATTCTTTCAATGACTTCCTTACGACCATCTTCTTCATCGCTGAAATAATCACTGTCATCCGTTAACGCGCGATTCTCGTATACATCTATATCGAAATTATTGTCATCTTTTTTATCGTGAAAAGTATTCCTCTGTATTGAATACTCGGTACAAAAAAATGTAAAATAACCGCTATATTTTTTTTTAATCGATGTACCGACGCGTAGACTATCAAATCACAGACTGTAATTTT